TTCTGATTGAATTTGATTAACAACTTCAGTGACAGAAGTTTTAAACTTAAATGTTGAAGAACTTTCTGGAATAAAATTTGTATCGATGGATTCATAATTAGATCTTCTAGCTGGTATCCATGAATGACTTGAAGTTAAGGGTCTTTCTCTAAATGAAGAAAATTTTAGTAAAACTTTTCCATCAGATTTTTCTATAATATCTTCGGGATTGATTTGTTCCATATTTTTTTTGGAGTATAAGTTGTAGGTCTGTCTGCATCAACTTGTAATAGTGTTGTTTCCTCTTTTAAAGTTGCAGTAAAACCTTTATTCCATTTAGGAGTTGATATACACTAGATATAGTAATTTCGTTCTATTCTGATACATCTGTTTCAACAATTATGAAAGCTTTAGGATGAAAAAGGCATAAATATAGTAACGATTCAATTTTTTCTGTAAGATATCTAATTTTTTGAGTATGTTCTTCTGTCCATTGTTTTGGATTTTTCTTTAATCTATTAAATAATATAGAACATTCTTGTCCTAGTTTCGGAAAGAAGTCTGCAATATAATTTAAACATTCTAAAAATCCTTGCAATTGATTTTTCTCTTTTATTTCATCTGGAAATTTATTTGCAAATTCTAAAGCTCCATTTATTGGCTTTATTGTTCCTTTTTCTATATCATGTTCTAAAAATCTTATTTTAGTTTGGAATAATTTCATTTTAGATGCTAACACTACCAATCCATTTTTCTTAACTATTTTTAAAAATATATTTAAATGTTTAAAATGTTGTTCTAATGATTCTAAAAATATTAACACATCATCAATATAGACTATGCTGAATGAACTATAAGGGTTGAATATATCATTCATTATATTTTAAAATTTTGAAGGTGCATTTTTTAATCCAAATAGCATTACTTTCCATTCATAATGACCAAAGGGTGTTGTGAATGTTGTCTTATATCTATCTTCAGGAGTTATTATTATTTGCCAATATCCTGATTTTAAATCGAATTTTGAAAATATTTTTGCATTATATAACCTATTCAATAAGTCTTTTTTATTTGGAATTGGATATCTAATTCATTGTAAAACTTTATTTAATGGCTTATAGTTAATAACTAATCTTGGAACTCCTCTTTCTTTTTCAACTTGATTCATAACATAGAAAGCGGCGCAACTCCAAGGTGATTTTGAAGCTGTTATTAATCCTTTATCTATTAGTGTTTGTATTTCTTTTTTACAAAATTCTAATAATTCGCTATTCATTTGAATAGGTCTTGCTTTAGTTGGAATATTTTTTTTCATTAAAATCTTTTTCATAGAGTAATTTTATCATATGTTGTTTTCTATCCCAAAAGGCATTTGGAATGTCTGCACAAACTTCCTTTTTAATTAATTCTTCCAATTCTAAAATTCTTTTTTGCAATTTTGTTTCTTTTAATTTTTCTTCAATTTTTAAATAGGATTTTTCTTCCTTTATATAATCTATGTGTTGTTCCCGAAGATATTATAGAAGAATCTGATGAAAAAGTTTTACTAAAATTTTCTTCATTTAGAGAAAGACCCTCAACTTCAAGTCATTCATGGATACCAGCTAGAAGATCTAATTATAAATCCATCGATACAAATTTTATTCCAGAAAGTTCTTCAACATTTAAGTGTAAAACTCCTGTCCCTGAAGTAGTTAATCAAATTCAATCAGAATATTCTCCAACACATTCTCAAATGAAAGGAGAAATAAATGTAATGATTAAATAATATAAAATAAATCATAAATATTTACAAGAAAATTTTGATGATGAAGAAAATACAGAAAAAAATTTGATTTTCTCAATTATCTTTTGAATGTAAAGAAAAATTAATATTAGAATGGAAAAATGAACTAGAGATTAGAAAGTTTGATTTTCCTTTCTTTACCTGATTATCATTCTATATTTCTAAAATAAGAATAGATGATGTATATAATACTCCACAAATAAATGTTCAAACTAATTTATATAACAAATGAAAATTAAAAGACGACCAAGTAATAACTTCAATTCATCCTCCACTTCAAGAAGTAAAAGTTAATATAGGATAAGGAGATATAATTGCATCCCCATTCAAAAGGGGTAGAGAAGCTGAAGCAAGTAGTAGTAGTAACAATGTAAATTTGGATGATATCAAAAAATTATATCAGAAAAATAATTATATAAATCAAATTCTTCATACTATATCAAAACATAGCATAAAGTTGTGGATTTAGGAGTTGATGCAGACAGACCTACAATTTATGCTCCAAAAAGATTAAAATGGAACGAAATTACTATACGTAGTGAATTTATAATTCAAAATCCACAAGTACCAAGAATTCTCTTCCTGATTTTTTGACAAGAGAGTTTTTATAAGGAAATGGAGCAAATTAAGGAATTGATCAAAACAATTCGAAAAAGATACAATGATAGAAACAATGCGAGGAGACATTTTCGTATTATTTCAAGAGATACAACACATTATGTAATTCAAGGAGAGAATTTTAAGAGAATTGAAGTCTATGATATTCCCAAGTATGATGAAGTGAGAGTAAGACCCTCAAGAGCTATCATTAGCCTTAAAGAAAGATGTTTTACAAGAAAAAGAATGATTGATAGTGATATATTACAAAGAGATTGGGCTATAAAAGTTTTTCAAGAAGACAAAGAAAGGATAGAAAGATATAATTATGAAATCAAAGAGAAAAAGAAAAAATTAAGTTCTATTATTTGTTAATTTTACAGGATCATGGATTCAATTGCAGGAAGTTCTAGACCTAAAACTCCTCAAGATTATGAGGTGAGTCTTACTCCTGTAACTCAAAATAGATTTCAATTATTGCCAGATTTTTCAGCGTTGTCTTATAGTCAAGCTGCTCGTACTCCAACTTCTTCTCAAATAAGACGCATTCAACAAATTCCAAGAACCCTAGAAAAATCTAATGAAAATTCTTATTTTACGAAACCATTTATTCAACATATTACTTTAACCAGATTTCAAAAAGTACCTCTTTACAATGCACTTAACTCATAAAATAAGCATATAAAACTTACAAATAATCAGAGTACTCTTTTGATGCGAAAGCATTGAATCTTTATTGAACATGTTGAATGGAAGTGCGTACAAAGAAATTTTAAAACTGAGAAAGAAGAGATTTACAGAAAGAGAGTTCTAAGATAGTTAGAAAACTCGATGCCCCTTCTTCTGTTCTTGAATTCTATTTATAGAGACTTGAATTTCATTTGAGATTTCATTTGCTTTTCTTGCCGACACCTAATCTCCTCCTGATTAGTCATTTTTGAGATTCTTATCTTATTTTGAAATTGGCATCTTGAAGTTGGCCGATAATTTTATCAAAAGTCTGTCGGGTCTTGAGCACATGGACCACCGAAAGGATCAAAAGTAGATTTTGATGACGATCCCGCTGACTTATATTTTTTGTCTTCTTCTTTTTGTCTTGATTTTGCAAATAATTCAGATATTCTTTGAGCATTTCTAGATTTTGCAACATCTTTTTCATCAAAAAGTCATTTGCAATTGTTTCTGTTGTTGAGCAACTTTTTCTTTTTTCTTTCTTCTGTGACGTTGTTGGAATATTAACTCCTTTAATGTTTTGCTGATTCGAATTTGTCTATTTGAGCTTCTCTCCAATCTCTAAAAATCTTAAAACATTCTTCTGGTCAAAGAATTCTTGATTGAATCCTATCCACCATTTGATCTTGAATTCTCGGACTAGTGACATTGGAAGTGATTTTTCAAGTTTTTGATAAACTTTGAAACTCCAGCAAAAAATTCATGGTACTTTGAATTCCATGTGGAATAGTATTGGCCTTATACACTCTTCCCCCCTTGCTTTTTTGAGATATGTTTGGAATCTCATAAGTACATTTGGAGGTAGAATTTCCTTTTGAGTACCAAACCATTGCCACCAATGATTGAACCAAATTGGAAATTCTCATGAACAACTTTCTTTGAATGTAAAAAATCTTGAATGATTGAATGGTCTGCACAAAAAAGCATGATATCATGCCATTTTATAATTTTGATAAGTAAACCCAGTTGGAATGAATCTGACTGAGAAGGATTTCTTTGAATAAAGAGAAATCCATTCATTGGGAGAACAAACTTTCTTTATAATGCATTTTGAATGGCTAATTATCTCTAGATTCTTTTTATCTTGAATAGGAAAAATCTCAACAGATTTAGTATCTGTGAGAATTAATTCATAATAATCCAGATTTTTTGATGAATCATCTAATTGCCAGAAACATTTTGAAGGGAAAAGTCTTTGAATAAAAAGTTTCCTCAAAAATGTTATTGGCAACCAGATGATCCCTCAAAAAATTTGGATTATTATGAATTAATTCTTACAGATACCCAATCTGTAGAAATATTCCCTATTCCAGACAAAAAGAATCCCAATATTATTTGCCACTCAAAGTGTATAATAAAGAAAGTTTGTTCTCCCAACGAATGGACTTCTCTTTATTCAAAGAAATCTTTCTCAGTCAGATTTATTCCAGATGGATTTACTTATCAAGATTACAAAATGGCATGGTATCGTGCTTTTTTGTATCGAGCATTCAATCATTCATGATTTTTTACATTCAAAGAAAGTTGCAGCAAAGAATTTCCAATTTGGTTCAACCACTGGTGGAAATGGTTTGGTTCTCAACCAGAAATCCTACCTCCAAATGTTCTGATGGGATTTCAAACCTATCTCAAAAAAGCAAGGGGGGAGGAATATACAAGGCCAATATTATTCCATATGGAGTTCAAAATACCATGGATATTTTGCTGGAGTTTCAAAATTCATCAAGATCTAGAAAAACCACTTCCAATGTCACTAGTCAGAGAATTCAAGATTAAATGGTGGACAGGATTCAAGCAAAAATATGGAGACCAGGCAAATGTGATAAGATTCCTAACAACTGGGGACAAGTTTAAATGGACAAAACAGCCAACTACTACTCCAACAATTTTTCGAAGTAAAACTTGGCAGATTTTCTGTAATTAAGGTCAGAACTAACTTTCTTTTTGTATATACTGTCAACCACTTATTACAGCTTAACTTTCTATCATTATCTGCTTCTGCCTGTTTCTTCTTTTTGTCTTTCAAAAGCTCAAGTCTTTTTAGTTTATTTTCTCAATACTGTCATTAAAAAGAGTCGATTTGGCTATGCTGTATGAAGATTGCTGGCTTTTTGGAGATGATTTAGAATAGTATCATATGCATCATCATTTTGAAAATCATGTTAACTGGTGAAAATGAAATTTTTATGCTTGTTGGATTTGGAACCAAGTGGTTCATAAACATTTGCGATAAAAATATTTTTTTCAAAACAAAAGATACAGTTGATTGTCTATTAAGTGATAATGATAGGAAAGGAATGTGTTATGCATTGAGAAGTATAGTTTGTATTTCCATTATCCTTTTGTTAGTCAAATAACTTTTATCTATGTTGACACACACTAGTCTCAATTGTTCATCAAGTCTTGTGAACAGCTAATACAATATCAGTTACCTTGATCTTCTAGTCATCTAATCATCCTCTAGTAAATTTTTCCCCGATCAAAATTATTGTAAAGATAAAGAAAGCTCTTTTATATCTTTTATTTGAGAAATTCACCAAATCAAAAATGTAAAGGAATGACAAATGTCAGTATGATACAGGAATAGAACTATATTTTCCTCACTTTAACATGATAAACCACATGCAATAAGTTTAAGCTGATAAAAAATATACCAAAACAATTAATGCCACTTGTTATAGGAATTCAAACATATGCATTATGATAATAGCAGAATATGCAATCCATACAAAAGAACCTTTATAGCACTGATTTAATGTCAGAGACTTGTTTCTCAAATTATGGTCATTGGCTAATTGATTTGTTGGTTCTAGGTAGTGGTTGCCAACTTTTATAAGCTAGATTATACATTGCAGAATATCAAGTATTGCAACATTGCTTGTAGATGTGGCCAGTTGCATATAATCTTGTGGAACTACTGGGGAATTGGCTCTCTTCTCTCTTGTTTTAAATGTTCTCCCTAATGGCTGAAATTTGGTAGTTGAGTTGTTTAAAATGTTGAAATAAAGTACTGAATGATGTACATACATCAGAAAGAGTGGGAGAATTGACATGAATAAGCAAAAAGTGGTAATAATATAGCTGCAAAACAGCAAATGCTTCTGATGTTTAGTTGGATCTTTCAAACACTTTTATCAGATGTTTTCACCATAACTTCTTTCCTTTACTTTCTGATAGGAGATGGTGACAAAAGATTATCAAAATTTCAAGTTCCAACAACCTTATCAGCAGGCTATGTATTACTGCTCATTGATTTTACATGACCAAGCATTGCCATGGACTGAGCAACTTGAAGTTCTTCCACATCTTCAAGTTGACAACCTTCTTAAATTTTATCCACAGATGCTATCAAGGACCTTCTTGGAATGCTATATTGCAGGTTACTATAGATTGGCTTTTTCTAGATTATTAACTGGCTTTAGCTTATGAATCGAACTTTTGTAACTGTCACCTTTTTTCAGGAAATATTGAACCAAAGGAACCAGAATCGATCATACAACACATTGAAGATGTCTTTTACAAGGGTCCCCAGCCTTTATCCTTGGTTTTTTTTTGCATCTCAGCATTTGTCTACTAGAGTTGTCAAGCTTGTAAGGGGCTTAAATTACTCCTATAATGCAGAAGGTCTTAATCCAAGTGATGAAAATTCTGCTCTTTTGCATTATATTCAGGTACATGTCTTGAAATCCTTAGGAAATAGTAATGAATACCATAATGCCCTCTGAATCTAATAGAATTCTAGATTTGTATAAACTAACTTATGCATGTTTGACCAAAAATTGTTTGACTATATTTTGATCCTTTCCATCTGTGTAGGACTGAGAAAAAATATTGCTAAAAGTTTTTGAGTTAGTACAACCTTTCTTCTGGATGTATGAAAGAACCAAAACGATCACGCCCATATGTAAGAAGTCTAATGCCTCTACTTCTACCACCGAATTTCAAGCGTCAGACAGAATATGTAGATAGTAGGGTTTCAGATAGTAATTATAGGTATTGAGTACATTTGTCTGAATGTGTACCACTAATTTTACATTTAGTTAATCCTTTTTTTCAAAGGAAAATGGTTTGATTTAAGGTAACAACAACGTGAAATTTATTGAATTTTCTACTTTAAACAAAATGCGTCTCTGAGCATCCTATTTTCTTCTTGTAAATTCTGGATCGACAACTCATATTAAGTTGCCTGCTCACTTGGAGTATAAGTGATCTTTCAGAGTTATTTTTTGCTGCTCATGATTATTCCTCTACTTTTAGAGAGATTGTTTCTATTGTATGCCTGTTTAAATAGTAAATTTTTTAATCAGTGTTCATTAGAACCCTGCTTTTGTTCTAGACACAGACGATACATTTACTTATGGGTCAAAAAAGTTTTATTATTTTGGAAAGATTGTGTATGTTCTTTTCTTATTCCTTCTTGTATGCAAGTCTATCTTTAGGTCAAAGACATGGTTGTGTGAAAATCCATTAATTTGTGGAGCAAAGGAAAGACACCAATTTCCAGTGAAAAGCATACAGGAGATGCCTTTGCAGATTCACAGACAGTGAGTTAAGAATTAATCAGGCAATATAATAAGCATATAAAACTTACAGATAATCAGAGAACTCTTTTGATGCGGAAGTTTCTTGAAACCAAATCGAATTTTGAATCTTTATTAAACTTTGTGGAATGAAAGTGCGCACAAAGAAAATTTAAAGACTGAGAAGAAGTTTGCAGAGAGAGTTCTAAGATGGCTAGAAAACTCGATGCCCCTTCCTCTTGTTCTTGAATTCTATTTATAGAGACTTCTATCATTGAATTTCATTTGCATTTGCATGCCGACACTTTTATTTGAATTTCATTTGCTTTTCTTGCTAACACCTTATTTTCTTCTGATTGGTTCTCTTGAGATTCTTATCTTATCTTGAAATTAGCATCTTGAAGTTGGCAGACAGCTTTATCAAAAGTTTGTCGGGTCTTGAGCACATGGACCACCAAAAGGATCAAAACTAGATTCTGATGACGATCCAGCTGACTCATCTTTTTTGTCTTGGTTTTGCAAATAATTCAGATATTTTTTGAGCATTTTTGAATTTTGCATCATTTTTTTCATCAAGAAGTCATTTGCAATTGTTTCCGTTGTTGAGCAACTTTTTTCTTTTTCTTTCTTCTGTGGCATTGTTGGAATATTAACTCCTTTGGTGTTTTGCTGATTTGGACTTGTCCATTTGAGCTTCTCTCTTGTCTCTAAGAATCTTAAAACATTCTTCTGATCACAGAATTATTGATTGAATCCTATCCACCATTTGATCTTGAATTTTCGGATTAGTGACATTGGAAGTGGTTTTTCAAGTTCTTGACGAACTTTGAAACTCCAACAAAAAATCCATGGTACTTTGAATTTCATGTGGAATAGTATTGGCCTTGTATACTCTTCCCTCCTTGCTTTTTTGAGATATGTTTGGAATCCCATAAGGATACTTGGAGGTAGAATTTCCTTTTGAAAACCAAACCATTGCCACCAATGATTGAACCAAATTGAGAATTCTCTGCTGCAACTTTCTTTGAATGTAAAAAAATCATGAGTGGTTGAATGGTCTGTACAAAAAAGCACGATATCATGCCATTTTATAATCTTGATAAGTAAATCTATTTGGAATGAATTTGACTGAGAAGGATTTCTTTGAATAAAGAAAAGTCCATTCATTGGGAGAACAAACTTTCTTCATAATGCATTTTGAATGGCTAATTATCTCTGGATTCTTTTTATCTTGAATAGGGAAAATCTCAACAGATTGAGTATCTGTGAGAATTAATTCATAATAATCCAGATTTTTTTATGAATCATCTGGTTACCAGAAACATTTTGAAGGGAAAAGTCTTTGAATAAAAGAGTTAAGTGCATTGTAAAGAGACACTTCCTGCAATCTGGTTAGAGTGATATGTTGAGTAAATGGTTTCGTAAAATAAGAATTTTCATTGGATTTTTCTGAAATTTTTGGAATTTGTTGAATGGGTTTTATTTTAGAAGAATTTAGAGTACAAGCAACTTGACTATAAGACAATGCTGGAAAATCTTGCAATAATTGAAATCTATTTTGAGTTACAGGAGTAAGACTCATCTCATAATTTTGAGGAGTCTTAGGTTTAGAACTTCCTGCTTTTGAATCCATGATCATGCAAAATTAACAAATAATAGAACTTAATTTTTTCTTCTTCTCTTTGATCTCATAATTATATTTTTCTATCCTTTTTTTGTCTTCTTGAAAGACTTTTATAGTCCAATCTCTTTGTAATATATCACTATCAATCATTCTCCTTCTTGCAAAATATCTTTCTTTAAGGCTAATGATAGCTCTTGTGGGTCTTACTCTCACTTCATCATACTTGGGAATATCATAAACTTCAATTCTCTTAAAATTCTCTCCTTGAATTATATAATGTGTTGAATCTCTTGAAATAATACGAAGGTATCTACTCGTATTGTTTCTATCATTGTATCTTTTTCGAATTGTTTTGATCAATTCCTTAATTTGCTCCATTTCCCTGTAAAAACTCTCTTGTCAAAAAATAAGGAAAATAATTATTTTCTCCTTTAATAAATTCTATTTTAAAATCAAATACTGATAAAATTGCTTGCCATCTAGCAAAAATTTGTTTTGAAACTATATTTTGAACATCTTTTTTGTAAAACTTCCTTTGCTGATTTACAGTCTATTCTTAACAAGAAGTTTTTGTTGTATAAATCATCCTTAAATTTTGATATACATAATACTATAGATAGAATTTCTTTTTTAATAGTAGAGTAATTCTTCTGTTGACCATGTTCCTGAATGAAATCTTATTAATTCTTCTTTTAAATTATCTATTCTTTGTTTTAATATTCTTTCATATCCTAATTCTTCATTATCTATTCTTTGTTTTAATATTTTTCCAGTATTGTCTTATAGTCAAGCTGCTTGTACTCCAACTTCTTCTCAAATAAGACCCATTCAACAAATTCCAAAAATTCCAAAAAAATTCAATAAAAATTCTTATTTTATAAAACCATTTACTCAACATATTACTCTAATCAGATTCCAAGAAGTGCCTCTTTACAATGCACTTAACTCTTTTACTCAAAGACTTTTCCCTTCAAAATGTTTCTGGCAACCAGATGATTCATAAAAAAATCTGAATTATTATGAATTAATTCTCACAGATACTCAATCTGTTGAGATTTTCCCTATTCAAGATAAAAAGAATCCAGAGATAATTAGCCATTCAAAATGCATTATGAAGAAAGTTTGTTCTCCCAATGAATGGACTTTTCTTTATTCAAAGAAATCCTTCTCAGTCAAATTCATTCCAAATAGATTTACTTATCAAGATTATAAAATGGCATGATATCGTGCTTTTTTGTACAGACCATTCAACCACTCATGATTTTTTTACATTCAAAGAAAGTTGCAGCAGAGAATTCTCAATTTGGTTCAATCATTGGTGGCAATGGTTTGGTTTTCAAAAGGAAATTCTACCTCCAAGTATCCTTATGGGATTCCAAACATATCTCAAAAAAGCAAGGAGGGAAGAGTATACAAGGCCAATACTATTCCACATGAAATTCAAAGTACCATGGATTTTTTGTTGGAGTTTCAAAGTTCGTCAAGAACTTGAAAAACCACTTCCAATGTCACTAATCCGAAAATTCAAGATCAAATGGTGGATAGGATTCAATCAATAATTCTGTGATCAGAAGAATGTTTTAAGATTCTTAGAGACAAGAGAGAAGCTCAAATGGACAAGTCCAAATCAGCAAAACACCAAAGGAGTTAATATTCCAACAACGCCACAAAAGAAAGAAAAAGAAAAAAGTTGCTCAACAACGGAAACAATTGCAAATGACTTCTTGATGAAAAAAATGATGCAAAATCCAAAAATGCTCAAAGAATATCTGAATTATTTGCAAAACCAAGACAAAAAAGAAGAAGACAAAAAAGATGAGTCAACGAGATCATCATCAGAATCTACTTTTGATCCTTTTGGTGATCCATGTGCTCAAGACCCGACAGACTTTTTATCAAATTGTCGGCCAACTTCAAGATGCCAATTTCAAGATAAGATAAGAATCTCAAAAGTGACCAATCAGGAGAAGATAAGGTGTTAGCAAGAAAAGCAAATGAAAGTCAAATAAAAGTGTCGGCACGCAAATGCAAATGAAATTCAAAAATAGAAGTTTCGATAAATAGAATTCAAAAACAGAAGAAGGGGCATTGAGTTTTCTAGCTATCTTAGAACTCTCTCTCTGTAAACCTCTTCTTTCTCAGTTTTAAAATTTCTTTGTACACACTTCCATTCAACAAGTTCAATAAATATTCAAAACTTTCGCATCAAAAGAGTACTCTGATTATCTGTAAGTTTTATATGTTTATTTTATGCCTGGGTTGGTTTTGAAGGGGCATCGAGTTTTCTAGCTATCTTAGAACACAAGTACCAAGAAATATAGAACAAATCAATAAAATTTGAAGAAAAACAGCACATAGATTATAAAGTATAAGCATAGTGTAATACACCTTTTAGTGCTAGTTTATTTGGTTAGATATTTTACTTCATTTGTAAGTTCTATAGGTTTTATTTTTAGAGACTACAATGACTTTGTTGTTTTTATTTCCTAGGAACCGTAGGATGTTG